ATCAAATGCCGCACTCATATCTAAAAACGCGACTGGAGCCACATGTTGTTTGTCCAAAGCAGCAAACAACTCAGAAAACACATAAAGCAGTGCAGTTTCCGTTGAATGATAGCGGCGATATCCAGACTGGTGAACTGGTAGCAGGTTGTTTACATTCAAATGATTCAAGAGCTGTTTGGCAACCACTCGTTCAAATATCTTGGAAGTGAAACAGGTGTTGGAAATTGGTCTATAACTAGACAAATCATTTCGATCCATATTCACTTTTTTTAATACTGGATAAGCCATAGCATGCTTACAACCATTAGGAAATGTGCCACTGCTCAGACTCAGATTTAAGATGCTGGTAAGAAAAACGATGAATAAATCAATATATTTCTTTAAAATATGGGTCGGAAAGACATCTATCATACATGTTTTTGATGGCAAACTGAGTACAATTTTTTTAACGTCAGATTCTGTTAAAAGTATAAAGTCAGGAAAAGAACAATTCCCGTTGTACTGAGCTTGACAAATAGTCGGACAATTATTCACATTGGTAGACTGTTTAATTTTATTTACTTTATCATTAAAAAACTTTAAAAATTGAGACAAATCTAAACCAACAATTTCACTCAATGACTGACCAGTGACTTGATTACAAAGAACTTTATTAATAACATTCCATAGATTTTTAGAAGATCCACTATTGTCTGCTACAAGTCTTTTCCAATAACTGTTTCTTTTTTGTGAAAAAAGCCTAGATTTATTTTTCAGAGCTGCTATCCACTCATTTTTACATTTCTCTGTCTGATATTTTCTGTAATTCTTTTCTTTCTTTCGACAAAGTCTTTTGAAAGATTTACATTCACCATCATACCACGGAGCATTAACATCACATCTGACTTCTACAAAACAAAGTGGAGCAACTGCATCAGCCAATTTCTTGAGTTCAGAACTCATCATATCAAACTCAATATTAATATTATTGCTTTGGCAAGACCTTGATAATGGAGAAGTCTGTATATATTTAATGAGATTGCTTTCATTTAGGTATTTCCAGGATCTAACTTGTTTCTTGGCTATTTTAGGACGCTTATGAGTTAATGGTATGTTAACCTGAATTAAACTATGGTCTGAAAAAGTCCCACTGGGAAAAATCTTAATATCTGAAATCTGAAAATCTTGAGAACAAATAATCAGATCAAGAATACCTCCATGTTCATGAGTCGGTTCGTCGATCAAATTTTTTAATTGAAACATTTCTAATATTTCCAATAAATTTACAGTATGACGATCTTCCTGTTTCTCAAGGTGAATGTTGAAATCGCCCAAAAGTATGATATTTAAACTAAAAGAAGTGATATTTTCTAGTAAACATAAAAATTCTTCAAAAAATAAATTACTAACTAAAACTGATCCTGGTCTGTAGAGGGCTAATAGAACAAAATTTTTGTTGCTAATAAATAATTTAACAGCAAGTGCTTCAAATGAACTAAATATTGGCAGATCTATTTTCTTAAACTTAAATCCATTACTGAAGTAAATAATTAAACCCCCATGGTGAGGATCATTTATTCTTAAAAAATCAACATAACTATATCCTGGTGGCATTGATGATTTAACAGAAATGTTATTCGTAGATCCGTGCAAAGTTTCGACTAAAACGAAAATATCTAGCCCATCATGAATCAAATCGTAGATCGTATCAGTTTTAGAAATCAATGATCTAATGTTCAATAAACCTAGTGTTAAATTACGATTTACTATGTTGCAGTCTTTATCATTGTTATCATTTATTTCTAAATTCTTGACATATTTTATATTAACACTGGTTTTTTCTGTATTTTTACAATCTTCCATATCCCTACCTGTCCTCTCACTCTGAACAAAAAATTTTGATTGTTTTCTTCTCGCTCCATAACTTTAGCTTTATCAACAAATGATTTGAATTCCTGCCTCTGATCCTTTGTTAAATCATAGTTCAGTCCAACATGTGAAAATTCTTTTAACGACTTGAATTTATATACATTTCTCATTATTGAGTCTCTGAGTAAAACGCAATCTAACTTTATCAAAATGGGTCTAACGACAGTTTCGCATTTCCTTCATTATTTTCACCCAGTCTCATTATTTTTATTACATTTTTTAAGAAACATCTCCTGTCAAATGCTTTAAAATTTTCAAAACATTGGAACGATCATCATCACTTTCAGCTAAACGAAACATCAATAAATTTGTTTCTCTTTCTTTAACGTCACTAGCTTCTTGTAAAGTTTTCTGGATTGATTTGACATCACTTCTAATTACTTCAACATTCAATTTAACTTCCTTGCTGACAATGCTAGAAAATGTTTCTTTTATTTCGTTTTTAAAAATTTTAATTTCCTCACGTAAAACAGTATCGAAACGATCAAGTTCATCAAGTTTAGATTGGTTATGGTCAACAACCATTTTTATGCTATCAACGTCAAGTTTTATTTTTCTGTTACCATCATTTATTTCATTTAGTTGAGCAACA